TATACTCAAGGGAGGAGTGGGGTTAAAATGAAGCAGACTATCATCTTGCAAGAGTTGAACTCTTGGGACGTTTTTTGCCCCCAATTTCTTGGGACTACTTTGGTATTAATTCTTAGAAAATAAATTATTACCACAATCCTATATATAATCTTTTGGAACTATCTTTTTATGTTTTCCATAAAATTCTCATATTTTAAGGGTCTTTTTACTTCTCCATGAGCAGAGTTTATACTGTTTATTAAAAACACATTTTCAAACCAGTGGAGAGGTCTGAGGGGCCGCCCCAGTCCCAGCTACGTTGACACCTGCCCCTACCCCCAGAAGAATTTATTTCAGAGGACGGCACAGAATCTGCAGCTCCAGAAGAGGGACATATCTGATGGGAGCACACAGGAGCAGATGAAGGGGGAGGAGGAGAGAGTGGAGCACATCCTGGCCCACCAGGCCTTGAGGACGATGTTCCTGCTCAGAGCAGCTGGTCCATAGAGAGGACCACATGGCCGGCCCCACTATGAGACATGATGTCCCTAATTGACCCATAGCCCTACAGGGGACAACATTGGAGACACAGCATGGGAATTGCACCCGATCTGATCCTGCCACACCAAGGCAAAACACTAAGGGGGTACAACAGAACAGCAAGGGAATGGAGCAGCGAAGTCCCCAGAGAATGCCGAAGGTGGAATTTGGGGCCAGGGCATGGGGCACCAACAGGCTGGACTGGAAAATACTGGCCAATAAACAGTCCTTGAACTAACTACAAGCTTTTCTTTCTTGCTGTGTTTTGGTTTGTTGTTTTTTTGTTATTGGTTTGTTGTTGCTTGTTGTATATTTTTGCTTGGTTTTGCTGCCTTGTTTTGGGTCATGTTATCGCCACACGTCTGTCTAAATAAGATAGGCTGGATGAACAATCTGGAGGAGAAAACAACGGGACCGACAGTTCCAGGGGTAAATGGGAGAGGGGGAGATGGGGGAAAAGTAGTGGTGGTAACAAACCCAGAGACAAGGGAACAACCGGTGATCCAAATCGGTGGTGAGGCGGGTGTAGGAGGCCTGGTAGGGTGTGATCAAGGGTAATGTAACGAGAGGAATTACTGAAACCCAAATGAAGACTGAGCATGTTAATGTGACGAGGAAATTCAAATGAAATAGAGGAAAGAGCTGGGAGGCAAAGGG